ACAATGAACATTACTTTACATAATTTATTCCTCTTTTATTATTAACATTCAATTAAGTTATTAGTGATTAAAAAAATCTGATTTAAATCTAAAAATCTGATTTAAATCAAAAAAATCCGATTTTTTAATTTTTTGAAAAAAATCTGATTTTTTCTCAACCCTGATCATGGTTGGTCAAAAGTTTTAGGGAAATCACTACTGTAATCCACTATTTTGCATGCTAAACGATCCAAAATCGCCAATATACATTTTTGTCAACTTTCAAAAAGAAGCATCCCACAAGCATTTTAATAATGCATGTGAAACTAAATTTGTTAAAAATAATAAAATTACTAAGTATAAATCGTAGCAGTATCAATCATAAATGTCATATGTCTTGCTAATTCTATTTTAATTACTCCTTGTGGTAGAGTACCCTCACAGCTGATAATGCCATTAAGAATATCATGAGGTAATGGCTGATAGGTAGATTCAGTGTCTCCTAGCAATGGAACATCTGTGTCTACTTTTACATCTCTTTCTCTATTGGTGGGCCATGTTATAGCTTTGTACGTAAGCTTTCCAAATATCTTCAGTGATTTTGGTAAATATTCATCAAATTGACCTTCATGAAATGCAAATAATATGAAGGAATATTCAAGCAATTCATTATAACCTAACATTAGTCTAGCTGACATGTGTTGACCACATGCACCAGTATAAAAATGAACTGCTTCACCTCCTACTGTAACATCAATTGGTAGTAATGAAGCTGTTGGAATGTTCCTTAATTTTTCTATTTCTTTTTTTGCTTCTTTTATTTTGTCATTATTCTCTCTAATTTCTTTTTTCATTTCCTCATTTTCTTTCTTCAATTGTCCACAAGCTACAGCTAATAGTGTCATGTGTTTAGTATCAGCAGTGTGTACATGTACATCTTTACGTAATGGCTTATCATTACAACCAGCCCAACTAAACACACAATCTACTGGCTCTAATGGACACTCATTGATATGAATGTTTTCAGTGATTTTATATCGTGGCATGGTAGTAGATGAACATTTTTTAGGACAAGTAACAGGATACTGCCTGCATCGATCGTAATGATACTCTGTAATAGAGACGAATGTATGTTTTATTTTGCAGTATTGGCATTCGAATGGACGTTGAAGGCATTTATTATCTTCATGATCCTTAAGATATCTACGTTGCTTTCTCTCTCTACATTTCTTATATCGACACTTTACTTCTTCATATTGACATTCTCCTTCTCTCTTCTCTTTATTACGATGAGTAGAAATATTCTTCAATTCTCCTTTCCATTGACATCCTTTCTCCTTATTACTGCAGTAGACCTCCAATCCATTGATAATACGTGAACACTTCTTATCAGGTATTGCTTGATATTCCTTCTCTTTACACATAGGACAGGATCCATTAATACTAGCTTTCACTATCTCAAAACAAGACCCACAGAAATTATATCCACAACAGCTTACGATATAAGGATCTGTCAAGACATTAAGACAAACTGGACACTCTATCTCCACATGCTTAGGAAGATCTTCAACAAAAGAAAGCTCTTCTTTACTGAACTGAGCCATTATTATGATATCAAGGACCATATAAGGACAAAGTATTTATAATGTGACTTGTTTGTATCAACTCTATGTACATGTGACTGTTATGATAAGCAATCAAATCATCATTTTTGTCTGCATATACATGTATACATGTACTTATTACATTATATTTGTAGGCATAATGTCTAATAACATAAATGAGCATAAATAGAGATGACAGAAGGAATAGAGTTAATATTAATAGTAAAATATCAATTTTAATTACTTCTCAAGCTGGCCCTATCAAGAATATTGTGAGGTAGTTCTTTGTAAGTAGCTTCAGTGTCTTTTATTCATGGAATATTGTTATCACAAAACTTTGTAAGTATTTTAGAAACTCTCTGTTTAGATTTTCTTTATGAAATGCAGGCACCACAATTGCATCATAGAATGGACGATGGTGTTTTATCATTAAAATTCTAGCTGACACA